ACAATTCTTAAGCTTCATCCTCTCTGGTCAATCCTGCCACAGGAAGAATATAAAAAGTTATTTCTTTTGTATTCCCATCAACTGGCAAAGGCAGAGCATTGACTGAGCCCCTTCTGACCCACAGAGCTTTTGTGTTCCTCTCTCTGAAGTATTAAGTTAGTTAATTATTACTGAGAGTGTGCCAACCTGTCCTGAACCTGCCACACTAAAATAAAAGCACATAGAAGACTAAGCAAAGCCCGTAGCATGAAATGGCTTTAAATCAAAGACACCTTGGTGCCCTCCACTGCAGCGATCAAGCGACATTGCTAAGGCACATCACACGACATAAAAGCACCTTCTCCTCTACTTGCTCCTGCTTCCCCCCCCCCCCCCCCTTTTTCAACGCTACTCTCCAAAACAAAACTCCACAAGCATCTCCAAAAGCATTTATGGTACAAATAAGCCAGAGACCAAAATAATTCATTCCAGTATGTCTCTCATTTCCAGGACCGCTTTGCAAAGGCAGTTAAAAAACCCACAACAGTACAAAGTGAGAGAGCCCAGCAGAGCTAAGTCTTAATACGCAGCTGCAGCTCCTTTCGGTGCACGCGAATGGTGCGAGTGCCTGGTGAGGAAACCCCACGTCCTTTGTGCGATCTCTCCAACACACAGAGCTCAGAGGGGAGGGGGATGCTGCTGTGCACGGAGTAACCGTGGTGGAAACCCTCCTCTCCGCAGAGGAGGCAGGACCGGGTTGTGTAAAGGCACGAGCGGCTGAGCCGGCAGCCCCAGCACTGCCGCTGCAGCAGGAGGGCAAAGGATTTATTCTCAGGGTGGCAAACATTCCTCTCCTCCAGCACTGGCTTTTAAGAAGGCAGCACCAGAGAGTCTTCTGAAAAAGCAACAAGTGGGACATCTCAAGCCCCTGCAGCTGAGGTGAAGCCCTAGAGGAACCAGCTGCTGCAACAGCAGAGAGAGAACAAGCTGTCCAAAGACAGCAGCAAAACCAAAGAAATTAAGAGTCAATACCATCTTTGCTGGAGAATGAAAGGTTAAAACCGTATCAGCAACTGGTTGGGGATAGGCTTTTGAGGCAAAGCTGCCATTCCTTGCCTGCTAATTGTTATGTTTTCTAAAGATTTCATCAACTAAGTTGTGTTCAACAAACTGCTATTTAATTACCAGAGTAGAATTCTGTTAATTAGCCAGCCCCAGAAGACAGCCCTTCATCCCTGTTAAGTGAAATTCCCAGCTAATCCCTCCAGCAGCAGTTGTGTCACAGCCTAGGGAGCCACAGAGAGCTATTAGAGATGCCCCCAAAGTCAGGGGGAACAATCAGAGCTTGGCCCCCGCCTGCTGCCAGCAGCTGTCTTCAGCCCCGGGAAGGTGCAAACCAGCACAAGAAGTGTAATACCCAGGAGTAAAAAGCTATTCACTCCTCTTACCATTTCTCAGCTGTCCCTCCTGTCTCCATTTGCCCCAGCAGCTTCAGCCACAGCCCGGCCAGCATCTCCTCTTCCCCCGGGGCTGGTGCTCCTGCTGCATCCCTGTGCTGCATCCCTGTGCTGCATCCCTCCCTCCACACAGTCCGTGCTTGTGCCCGTGTAAGAGGCCAGCAGCTCTCCTTCGGCCAACTCTCCATCATCCTCCACTTAGCACCACAGCTTTTCCCAGGAAGACACCGCAAGCACCTTCTATAAGGTGCTATGAACATTTCTAAAGCCAGCCAGAGCTCTCCCCCTACCTCTCATCTCACCCGGCTTCCCAGGACAGAGGACAATCCCCACGCGACAGTAACTCCACACCCAGCAGACCCGGGTGGCAGGACAGGTGTATCAAGGACATGAAAGTCCTACAAAATTCATAAAACCAGCCTGGGTAAAGGAGACAAGTGCTCCAGCTACGTGAACGGCTTCGGTGCGAGGTCCCGCGCCAACAGACACCAAATAAAGCCCAAGGGCATTGTCGCAGTGTGGGCAGGTATCAGCCAGGGCTCATTACCATCCCAAGAGGGAAACAGGTTTCTTTAATTCAGCTAATGCAGCAATCAGGAATTTCTTTGCTGTCTGTAACCATGGAAGTTAAATGTTTTAATTTTATGTTGAAATGCCAGCAGAAATTCATTTTGATAGGAAGCTGTAGGCTCTTCTTTGATATCCATTTAAACAATTTAGATGATTTTGAAGCAGTGGGGGGTTCATTTAATCAAGTTCAATAAAGCAGATCTCCAGGTGAAAATAATAAATATTTAAAAGACTAAAAAAATTAACTGTTCAACATAATTTGGTATAAATAAATCTGTGCTATGGAGATCAGTAGGGATGAAAGGACAGTTCAGAAATTCTACAAAATCTTTCAGTTAATGGTTGCAAAATTCCGATATGCAATTTGTCATGTTCCTGTAAACTTGCATTACCCATTTTGATTCAAGCCCAGTCTTGGATTGTGGCATACAATACACTGAATTTTAGTCAGAAGATATCCATCAGCCCAGATTCTAAGTAATAATAACAATTATCATCAGAATTAAGCCATACAGAAAAAGAATCCCTAATTTTATAAACTAGCGATTTAGAACAATGAAAAATTGACAACAGTTCATAATGTGGACTTTGGGTAGTCGACGTGCAGCTACTCTAACCTATGGCTAGGATAAAGTGTCTCTCAATCTCTATCCAATGTTCAAGCAGAAAGGTCTTCAATATTAAAGTGGCATGCAAGGCAACTACATAAAAATAATTTCCTTCAATAGGATGAATAAAGTAATACCTTACATTAGCAAATTCCAGTGACATCACCCAATCGGCCTCTTCTGCCAGCAGATCCAACTCTACTGAAGTCAACATCCGTGCTCAAAACGAACCTGGAGGAGAGGTAAGAAGCTCTGGCTTGTTTCCAAAAGTAAGAGTAAGCAGAGGGCGAGGTATGTGATTAATTTGCCATTAGTATTCCACTCACATTTCCTCCAAAGACAGGAAAGTATTTCAAGTGAGAAATCTTGCTCATCAAGCTGTTGAAAACATTTTTCTCAAAGTTTTCTACCCCTCACTTCTCCAAGGTCACTTTTTGACTCCATCACACAGGCCTGGAGGCTGTTTGGACACATCACACCTGCAAATATCCGCTAGCACTTCGCAGGTAGCTGGTGTCCCCAGGCCTCCCTCTGCCCATTCCCTGGAAAAAGGGGAACCCCACTCATTGCAGATAAAAGCGAGGGCCACAGCAACAAGTTCATTTCACCTTGCAGGGAAAGCACCTTCCTACGTTCCCTTATTTCTCAAGGAGGTTAGGTATCTCTGCATCTCACACTGCAGTGTGAGTTGAAAAACATCATATAATTAAACTGGTAATAGCCTCTATGCTTTTTATTTTGAAGCCTCAATCTAACTGCAACTCAAAAATACCTTAAATACTCACTGAATACATACAAGACTGATAAACTTCAGCACTCCTTTCTGATTTAATAACACACCAAAAAATAAATTTAAAAATATTTTTAATCTATGAGCAAAACAGCTTCTAAGGGAATAAGTTTTACTAAAAAATACACAGGTTTAAAAAAGCAGGACTGGTACCATTTAATCTCAGAAAGCAATTACAGAAGCAAGACATTTGCATTTTAGAAAATTTGTTTTATTAATAATGCTCATTAACTGCACAGTTTTAATTCATAAATACAGATAAAGTTGTAAAAACCCTCAAAATGTATGATTCTTATTTTTAAATTTATTTTATTTTAATGGCTGCCTCCTAATATACTAAAGATGTGGAAATCAGTGCAACTCGAACAGTTGCCAAACAAAAACCTCTTAACAATGAAGTAATGCTCAGTGGAGCATACGCTCATCTCCACCTTGCAGCTTCTTCTTGTAAAAGGAACTACATCAGTCTTTGGTAGTATATTAAAACAAATCAACACCTCCAATACTTAATATCGACAAACATTTAAAGATTAACACTGTTTATATTCATATTTATGCTGCAACAAAAAACTCCTTTTTTTTTTAAAAAAAAAAAAGGTCACAGAGGAAGTCGTGATGGCTTGGAACTACATACGATGGGTTTTCTTCCCTTGCACTGAAGTCAACAGCAATTCTGATACTGACCTTTGTGGCTGCAGCCATGGGCCTAAAATACTCACAGAACTGTGAGGGATGAATCCAGTTAGTCTAATGCATTAGAAATGATTCATGACACATTTTCATGAATGTACGGAAAAACGTCATAAGAAAGCATACAATATAAAAACATTAAAAAAACCCATTCCCTCTTAAATAAGAGAGGTGTGGAGTTTGTAGGGTTTCCTACTGAAAGATGTCTCATTCTAGTCTGAACAAGGGCTCTTCTGAAATCACTACAATTAAAACACTCGTTAACATCATCCCACAGAGGGTTAGTCCCAATATAAATGTGTTCTCTTTAGTTGCTCATTTAGTGAACACTTTACTATTTACTTTTACAGTATGTGTGCCATTGTCAGTGCAAGACCAGATTATATTGAATATTAGAATAAATGCAGTGCAATTTCTTTCTCTCTTGGGACAAAACCAGTGAGTAAATCTTAACATGATAGGAATGTTTTAAAATGAAAATTGAAAACACATTTCACCAAGCCACTATTCCTCTACGCACAGCACATCTAGGAAAAGCAGCATACCATCTCTGTGCACATTTGCATTTAACTAAGTACAGTACAGAAGAAATGAAACCCCGCTACTTTAATGAAATAGGAACAAGTATCAACTGATTAAAAAAAAAGTGGCCAAAATATCTTTTAAAAGAAACAGTGAAAAAAATCTAAAAAACCCAACCAGTCCAGAAGTAATGAATTGCATGTTTAGCAGTCAAGGCAACTGTTTTTCCTCATTTTCCCAGTTTGAAATGTTAGAAACTCAAAAGGGCCACTGCGTATAGTGCTTCTGCAGGGCTTCCACCATCCTTCTCCTTGTCCAGACCACCTCACAACACCGAATAAGAACAAATGCGCTTGGCACAGACTGCGCTTAATGTTTTCCACGTCAGCCTTCAAAAGCACGATGCTCTCTGTGTGCTAAGGAAGAGAGAAGGAAAAAAGAAGAAAAGAACATGTAAACTCTGTCAACGAGTTGAAAAGATTAAAAAAGAGAAGACAACAACGTATAAAGCAGTCAAAGACGACACAACATGCCAACAAGTGATCTTTGGGAATATACTATTCTGATAATACCTTTATAGAGAGCCTAAAATAAGAGATCCCTTAAAATCCTGATTGTAAATGGTTCCTCTAAGTGAACACTTAAATTGAACAGCATGTAGTCTTGAGAGTTATCAAGAGATTTGTCTCACTAATTTTATGAATCAGGCATATCAAACATGGAACCAAATATATTCTACAATTAAACTAAAAATACCTTATATTTTGAATTATAGCTAACTTCTACATTGAAGGGACAGAATTTTAATGCAGTGAGAGATACTATGTTTCTAAATGGTTAATGATGAATCAGGAAAGATATTCCCATGGAAATACCCTACCAGTGTCTTGTTTCTCTAATGAAGGTGGAAATTAACAGTACAAAATACTTACGTTTATAAAAGATAGCTTTAAAAGATGTGTGTGGCAGAAGTTTACGTATCTTTTCTAAAACTTTTGCTTCACTTGCTAAAGAGGCATTCATGTTCCAGACTTGCACAACATCTTCACGGTCACGAACACTGACGCTAACCCCTATTACTTCATCATCTGCACAGAAGAGGAAGCATCATTAAGGAACAAATACTTTAAAAGTGAGACATGTCTAATTTGATACTTATGTATTATGAAACAGTGCCCAAAAGCTGAAAAAACTGAAGAAATGAAAAAGAGCAATCTCCAGTGAGGAGAATACTAATGTCCAAACCAGACAAAATAGTTACCAAAAAGAAACAAACACTGTATTTATAGAAACTGTTGGAAATATTACTCCTAGGGGTTTTAATAAAGTGCCATAAGATTATTCAACTTTGCTGTTAGCACTCTTATCCTTGATTAAAAGAGAATCACAAGACTCCCTTTGGTAAGGTTAGCAATATAAACTACTAAAGATAATTCACCTACAGTAATGTCTATAAGCAAAAATGGGGGGTGAGGGTGAAACAACTAAAACCCCAGGAAGGAACAGTACCAGGTGGATAACAGATACCATCTTCTCCAGACTTTGTTCTCTTTTTCCTTTATGTTTTGTCAAGGCAGGAACAGGAACAGGAAGTGTGGGGGGGAGAAAAGCACCAGTCAGGCTGCTGCTGCTAGTGTTGGTAACTCCATGCTTCACTGAAGAAGCCCTTTTTGGTGTGAAATTCTCAGGATGCAGCTTCATGGAGAGCTCAGCTTAAGGCCATGCTGCAGCTCAGAGCGGTGGCTGCCTCCAGCAGTGACCTCCACAATGCAGCTGCATCGTGCATCCCAAGGAAGGGGTCAGTAATGATAATGCAAAGGTGGTGTCAAGAGCACACAGCCAAGGGGAAAAACTACCTCTGTAGGCAGCAGAATATCACATATTTGCTTAAACTGACCCTGAGACCGCCCTATCAGTATATAAAGGGCAGGAACACTCCCTTCTTGACACCAACTCAATTATGCATATTAAGGATTTTGAAAAGCAACTGTCAGAAACGTCTCTCACAGCTCGAGGATTTGAGGCTTGTATTCTGTATCTTCCAATTCTGAAAGCTGGGAAGGCAATGAGAGAAATATACTGTTTGAGAAACTCATTCAACAAAACTTTTGTAGAAAAAACCAAAGCTACCAAGGTGAATATACCAGCAGCAGCCTACTGCAATATGCCTGCTCTACCACATTAGCTAGGTGTAAGAGAAACTCTTGGAAAGGTTTTTGCTGACCTGCTCTGTGAACCTGAGAAACTCAATTCTTTTCTCTGGAATGATAGAGCAGTGAAGGAACACTCCTAACAGGATATTCACCATCACTGCAACAGCCAGTTTAATCAGATACTCGTGCTTAGAAAAGAAGTAAATATGGTCAAGAGAAATGATGGAGAAGTGTCATTTGAACTGAAAAGTTAGTTCAGCTTCCAGAACTCCTTCCCCCCCAGGCCAACGGATGATTAAGTTCATCATTTGCTTCACCCAGAAGCAAGAAACGGTTCTGTAACCAAACCTTAACAAATTAAATGGTCACAGACTTTTACTCCCTTTTCATGATTTGATGCTCTATCTTAAGCCAGCTAGCACTCACAGTCCCTTCCCAGGCTCCATCTCTGAATGAAATGTGCAATCTTGCAAGCCTAGAGAAGATATTTATTCTGAAAGCAACATCGTTAAATTATTACCTCTGAGCAAAATCACATGTGAGCTTCTGGATGATTAATGCCTGTTTTCCAGTAAACCGGCAAGGTATTTTAAGAATATTTATGAAAATTCAATTACACTAAAGACCCCTTTGACCTAAGCAGTACTTTTAAGTGATAATGAAAATATTGCCTCTGGGTAGAGTGCTAACCTGGGATTCAGGAGAGCCAGGTTTGCATTACAGCCCTGCTATGGGCTTTTAATGTCACCACAGGCAAACCACACAGCTTCCCTCTGCTTCAGGTCTGCACTAGTGCTGCCCCGACAACTCCTAAATATGTTAGGAGAACAAAAGGGACCAGGAGGGCTAACGGGGGCACCTATCTAATTTACTTGCCTCCAACAGTGATAGTACAAACAATCTAGTATCAATTGGGGTTCCAGAGTCCTGGCACTGTAGAATTAATATTTATCATTTACATGCTAGCTAGCAGATAGATATTTAATAACTAGAAAACCTGCCGGCTTCCCAGGGATGCAAGCTGTTGAGCTTGAGTCTTGTGCCAAGACAGTCAGAATACCTTGTCCTCTTAATGGCAACAGGTGTGAATAAGATTTCCATCCCTGTATCCCATTTTTAGCAGTGTTTCCATGTTCTGCATTCAAACTCAATTTGTCATGCTGGCCTCAATCATTTTTAAGTTACCTGCTGCACAACAGTCTGTAAATTGCTCTCCAATAGTTGCTAACAGTAGCTCTTTCCAAACTGCAGCCTAAGGAGGGTGAAAAAAAAAAGTTACATTTGCATTATTGTTTTTTAATTTAAAAGTTAGGTTTGCTAGCTCAGTTTTGAGTGCACTCTCTTTTCTGAGGTTATCTAGACAAAAAAGAACATTTATTGTAAGTACACACTGTGTTATATAATTAATTTCCTCACAGTTGGAGCAATACATACTATTACACAGAATTGTTCCAATAAATATTTTAAATATTTAACAGTAAGTTTACCTTCACTATAGCTGTGTCCACAACTCATCCCAAATGCATGAGTTAATGTAAAGCATGAAAGTAGTATTCTCCCAAGAATTTCCCATGATAAAAGACCATAAGGCTCCACTTATGACCATTTGTTTCTACAGAAAAGAATTACTAACCACTTCAAGAAAAGTACCTGAAAACCCTACCGCTGAACTAAACTGATTTATATTTAAACATCATCTCTGATTTGCCTTGACTGTGAAATAAGTCCATCTTTCAACAAATTCAAATGCTCACTACAAAAGTAAAACAGGGGAAAGCGATCTGCCACTTTTCTTTGGCTCTTAGACTAATTACACTGTTACTTGCTTTTGACAGCAGTTATCACCTAAGCCAAAGCCCATACAAAACTTCAAATGCATCTGGACCAAGATAACGCTCCAAGGTGTGGGTTTACAGGGACAGAATATTTTATTTATTTATTGAAAGAAGATATCAACATGAATATTTGTCTATATCGTAGTAATGACTTTTTCATATACTACTTGATAGGACAAGGGGTAACGGTTTAAAACTGAAAGAGGGTAGATTCAGATGAGATACAAGGCAGACATTTTTTTATGATGTGGGTGGTGAAACCCTGGCCCAGGTTGCCCAGAGAGGTGGTAGATGCCCCATCCCTGGAAACATTCAAGGTCAGGTTGGACGGGGCTCCGAGCAACCTGGTCTAGTGGAAGGTGTCCCTGCCCATTGCAGGGGGGTTGGACTAGATGATCTTTAAGGTCCCTTCCAACCCAAACCATTCTGTGATTCTACAATACTTTTAAGGAATGTCTTTTCTGCTATATGAAGTTAGCTCGAGTTTTAGTACTATTAAGAACCCCAACATATCAAATGCACCAGGTTAAAACAAAAAGCAAGCAGCCACAAAGATGGCAAACTAATAAACTCCTTTAATGGCTGTTTCTGAGTACTCCTAAGCCATCTTCTAGAATACAAAGGATTTGGTGTGACTCATTATCATCTAATCCAATGCATCACATAAAGCTGTTCTATGGGAAGGACCATCTGATGCTCCCAAGGCAGGCTGAAGACGTCAGCATGACAGCCTCTGACACAGTGCCTTTTGCCTGCCAGTGGAACAGCTCAGAGATGAATGATGGGACTGACCACGCACACTCTCACTGCCAGGCGCAGTGCTCACTACTGTGAGTTGTCCTAACGGTCTCAAGGGTAGGAAGCACTTCATCCAGTAGTAAGCAGTTGCAGGATCAGGCTTATGAGGATCTAAAAAGTATTAGTTTTCATATTAAAAATTGGCATACAGAAGTGTCACCGTACACATGCAACAACATTTAAGTGTCAGTATTTTGTCAGTCAGTTTCTCATACCACTTGAAAGACAGATATCTTTAGAAAAACCTACATTTTCCTCCCTCAACACCCTCAGCAAGAGCTGCTATAGCATATAATCTTTCTGAATTAGGTCTGCACAAGATGGTTTATCTTAGCCAAGGAGACACTGTGTGCACGTGATGAAGAATGAAGCCAAAAAGTGAGAAACAGGCATAAAGGTATTATTTATGCTATTTACAGAGGCACTAAAAGCTGTCTGAAGTTCACTTTCAATTAAACCTTTCAGAAGTGACGTAGAACGTGTGGTACATAGCTTGAGAGATCAAAAAGTACCTTCATTTCAAAAAGGGGCTATCATTCAGCCTCTGAGGTCCCTAAATTCACCACCCAGTAATGCAGGCTCCCCAAACCACTTGTCACTTCTGACAATCTTCACACCTTGGATTATAAGAGGAAAAAGAAAATTTTAGTCTTTTGTGATCCCTTGGGACTGCAGGGGAGGAAAGCTGCAATTCACATATGGGGAAAAAGCCCACAGGCAAAAATCAATTATCTTTTGGCTGAAATTTCAAGTAACATCTTTCAGCATTTAATGCCTTCTGCAAGGCTGTCACATTTTTCTGACACTTCACTTTTCGAGTTGAGAGACCTGATCCAGAACATACTTACACACATAAACACCACATGTGAAGAGGTCAAATCTCCTCACCGTGACAGTTCACAGGAGAAGTTACTCACGTGCATTTGATTAGGGGCACAAAGAGAAACCCAGTTATTTCAGCAGGGCTAGAACAACAACATGCCTGACCAGATTTTATCTTTCACATTTTAAAATTAAAAAAAAAAAAAAAAGGGGGGGGGGGGGGGGCGCGATGACACTGAGCAACACTACAGTTTCACAAGATGTACACAAGGTGATCTGACAACTCACTGTTGCCAAAGGGGATGATCCTACTCATCTTTTCCTCCTTTACCCCCTATACCCCATCAAAAAACCTCTCCTGGCCATACACTCAAATTAAAAATAAAATAAAATAGGAGACTTTTTCTGACATCAGAGTGCATTAAGCTGGCTCACAAAACAGTCCAGTGAGCCCCAGAGCCTGTGCAAGCGGGATCAGGAGAGAATGAGCAAGATCTTCTGCCTTCAAGTGGCAACAAGCCGTGAGATGGGATTAGTTATTGGTGGAAACGATGCCTTGGTCCACGTTTGGCTACAGAAAGTCACAGCCATACATAGGTGCAAACAAGCAGTGCCAAGCAGAAATAGTCCTACTGAGTCTGACAGAATGTTTAGGAGCATTTCAGTGAAACTCTGAAAGTTGTGCTGGACTCTGTGTATGGACTTTTGAAGAGCATTACTAAGGTTCTGGCTATAATTTAACATATAACGTTATCAGGAAAAGTTTTTTATATCTTTCTTTGCATACCTGTAAGCAAACAGTCTTGAGAACAAAGGTGATTCTAAAATACCGTATTTCCAAATGGAAACGGAGTATAACACTACAGCTTTCTTTTAGTTGATAATACATTGACAAATGTTACCAAAAGCATGGAATTATTGGAAAAGAAACTTTTGCTCATTGTCTTAAAATAAAGGGTTATAGACATTAAAATAGTGTTTGGTTGTTGTGTTGGGTGATTTCAGAAATAAAAAGCTTTACAACAGCTTTATCAGATGGAGTTTAAAGAAACCCCCTTCCTAAACAAGGTCTAAGAAAAAAGTCAATATAACATACCGTACTTTCTTTAGGGACCTTCATTTTCCATATACCTCCTTTGGCATTGCTTTCCTCTTCCCTGGTTATGGGAAATAGATCAGTGAAAACAAACATTCATATCCAAATCTAGATAACCTTATGTTTGGGGTTTAATTTTCCCAGAAAAATCCCTTCTGAAGTGCAATTACTAACTCCGGGTAGCATGACTCAGGCTATGACTTCTGACATCAGAGATAATTCTTTCATTGTTCATATAAAATGCATCTCAACAACTAATCCGTTTCCCAAGTTTTGTGTGTTGGAAAACACATTTTCCCTGACTACAGACCATCTTAGAAGTGGCTGCACACTATATGGGAACAAGCCACAAAGCAATTTTATGTTTTACTATGGTAACTTTTTATTTTGGAAAAACTCTGGCATATTTTCACAGAAGCAGCTTATCACACTCGCATTTATCCAGTTTAACCAAAGAACACGAGCGCACTTCATTTCAGTTTTGTGACAGCTAGAAATTAATTGCTCTTATTAAAAGAAAGGCTGAAGCTGCCCAGGGTCAGGGCAGACATAACCATTAAACTGCTTCATAATGACAAAGGCATGGTGTACAAACCTGTGAGCTTCAACTTTGTTTTAAATTAAGGTTCTAGTTTCTTGTTAAAACTCTGTAATAGCAAAGTTTAAGGAATAACCTAAAATTCATCTTTGGAATATCTAAGCCCAGTATGAGACCTATAGATTCTGCAGGGTCAATGGTCTCCCACCAATCCAGACAAACACTGGGGAACAGAGGGGGAAAACTTTGGAAGGACATCCTCAAAAATCTGCAGTCCTCAATTCTTACTTCAGGATTTGTTTTTCTTCCTAAAAACCAGTATTTTTAGAAAAGTAATGTAGAACTTCAGATGCATTTAACTTGAGAAAATTAATGACTTGTTCAGTAGATTGGGACAGAAATCTGTAGTAAGCCACCACCCACTTAGACTTAATATGATCAAGTTAAAGAACTCTAATTCAATCACAATCTATGCAAACAATGCCAAAAAGATCCAAACTCTTCAGGAAGTGCTTAGGCTCTCTAATTCAGATGTGACAGAACTGCACCAGGAAGAAGATATGCAAAACTCAGCTTCTGAAAGGAAAACCTCAATGATTTATACTTTATTCCATTACCATCCTACAATCAAGTAGGAATTTGCTGCAGTGAATCATTTCATAATGCCTTAAATTAGTTTTAATCCAAGCTATATGTGCATTTATATGCATATGAAGCATACTTTTGCACAGGTGAAGAACAGTTAAGGACCATCAGTCATTTTCATCATTATTACACTAGCTTCAGTGGAAAGAAAAGAAATTGCAAGTTAAAAATAATTCAAATACAAGTAACATATTCTGCATATTCTTGAATTGAAATTCAGAGTCATATTTTATTTTCTTGATTTCTATTTCATAAGTTAATTTTTCTTACATTTACATTCAGAGGTGGACAATTAAATTACAGTCTGATTTTGATAAAGACTCCTTAGCATAAGTCACTTTTAAGCTTAATAAGATCCTTAGGATATTTCTTTCATAGGTATCTTAAGTTCCGGCCTTTGCAGGCAACAGAAACATCACCTTTCACCACTGCAGGTTTTTTCACTGCCCATTTCCAGAAATGCCTGATGATAACACACATACCAAAGTGGCCGTCTTTCTCCCCGCATTAAATGGTAACTACATCTCAGAGGCAAATTTGTCACAGGAGGAATGTTGTTGTAGACACTCCAGAAATCCTTAAAGAGAAAAAAATACTAGTTGCAGTAACACAAGAGAGTAAGCTTCATGCAGATTTACTTCCTTATTCGTTTTCTCTAGAACAATTAGATATCCTGCTCCTTAGAGAACTGACACCTTCTACATTATAATAAAATGCCTTGAAAAGAACATGTTGCAATTTCACTTCTACTTTTTTTTTTTTTAGATGCCAATTCTGCATAAGGTGGAGGTAGAAAAAAGGGAAGCATTGAACTGTGGATTACTTTAGAATCAAAGTCCTTAGGAATAGAGAGCAAAAAAAAAAAATCATCAAAATCAGTTACACTAAATATGTCAGAACAAAGCAGTCCATAAAACTTTCTTAGCATATTAAAAATATATATTTATATCAAATATTCACCTTATTTCACTTAAGACTAGCCTAAAACTTCATGATTACCTTGAGTTACAAAAACACCACAAATAATAATTCTGTTGAATTAAATGCCTAACTAGCAATACAACTACTTTGTCTAGATCACAGTGAGAAGTTTCAACCAGATGCGAAGAACTTGAGATGCACATGTTAATACAGGAACGGGGGGAAAATTAGAAGATCCAAGTTACCAGAAACCATCAGGATTACTTCCCAGCATTTCTGCAGAAGCTGTCATACATGTTTGGGGTGGATAAAAGGCACCCAAAAGCAGTGGTGAGCAACAGGGAGGGATGAATGAAAAGATCCCAATCCCCTTTCTTCTTTATCCAACAGTTGGGAATAAGAAAGGATTTTTAAAGACTTACATTGCATCAACATGCAATGATGCAATATTAAGCATTAGTACAACTCATTAAGTATTATCTAATAGCACAACTTCAGAAACAAAGATTGCAACATCACGTGATAAAATTTTGTGGCCCTCGACAATTCTACCTACCAGCCATGACCACTACCCAGTCACGAGAAGAGATGGAAGGCTATTTAAAATATAAAAAAATTGGTATGAAACAGCCCATTTCAACTTTCATCTTACTCTTACCTGGTTGTGTGCCCAAACCCTAAAGCTGCCATCAGAAGTAGAAGGAGCAGAGCTATGCCAGCAGATGACTGTGGAAAGATTTGAGAGTTCCTTTGTCCTGAACCAGGGACTCAGTTTGGAAGGTTTGGTTTTCAAACAGCCTTCAGGCGCTGCAGACTGGCCTTGCTCATTGAATAGCTACTGCCCATGAAGGACAGTGATTAAGTCAATGAAGATTTTCGTTTTGCTTCCCCAAGGAAGATCATATTATTCATATGATAGTGCAGTAAGACACACCATGGGCCACCCTGCTAGCTTCTGATAACCTCATCCAGATCATGAGTCTTCCCAGAGGATCTGAAGGCGGTTTTTGTATTTTCAACCCCAACCTGATGAGAAGAAACCCTCAGGTTTTTCAGACAATAAAGCCTAATTATTTTAATAAAGAAGGCAGGATTCAGAGTGGGAAAATAGATAACACCGGATACTGCATACACTACTTCATGGTCTTAAGCTGTCCATTTGTCAACAGGAGCCATTGCAGCCCATTTTGAAATAAACCCACTTCTGTTGTCAGCTTTAAGTTCAGAGCATCACTTCATTACATGACTGATGGGAACATTCTGCTGACATGGCAAGGTGAGAGGGAACCAGGGGTCTGCAGGACACTTCCATGCTTTATGCCAAAGTACTTCCTCTGATAACCCCGTCTCCAGAAAACTCCAAAATCCAATTCCTTTCTTACGCCTGTTAGCTAGGAAGAAAAAAATCTCATGCAATATAACAAGTTGTGCAGACGTTAATGAGAAAGCCTTGTTTAAAACTTCAATAGATCACTGTGGCTGGGCTCCTTCAAAGAGACAGTTTTGGCATTACCTTAGAATGTCAGAGACTTAGCGAACTAGGGACAACTTAGCATTAAGGTGAGACAAATACCAATTTGCTACATTTTATGCTAAAACATTGAAGCAGAAATGCAATTTTACTTGCAAGAGATGCCTGCTGCTCGGCACTGGCAGATGATAGAGACACACGCAGAATTTCTCATTGCTGCAAGTATTGCATGATTTAAAAGTAGTTTAATTCAAGTCAGTTTGCTAGATTTTTATTTTTTTTAAATTCATGCTCAAGGAGAGGAAAACTAAAAATTACAACATGTGGGTTTTTTTTCTTCTTGTGTAATTATTTTCTGTACTTAAAAAAAAAAGGAGAAAAGGCAGGAAAAATATTTAAAATACATCAAGTATAACAATCCAATGGAGGCACAAGTGCAAACTCAGACAAGGTTAAGAAGCAGGGGCTTGCCTGATCAACGCAATATGCTTCCTCCTTTCCTGGTCTGGAAAGCCAAATTAAATTCAAACAATGACCAAGCAATACCACACACAACCAATAACACTTATGTTTCATACCACAGGTACACAAAGCCACAAGTGTGACTTGTCCGTATGAGGAAAAATGAAACCTAAGGTGTAAAGTTACATTAAAAATGTGTGGCAACTCCCATAGCAAAGCTATGCGCCTTACCTGTACTGTTTGTACTGTATAAATCTTCTTCAAATTTGATGCACATTCAGCTGCTGTCGTACCAGGAAGCGACCTTGAAAACAAAATGGAGATTAATTAAAATATTTATTTTATCAAGCAGGGAGAAGGGAGATGGATGAGGAAAGTGAATCATATGAGTGTGAAGTTGAAATACTCAAAGTTGCATAATAAACTCCAACTCCAATTATCAGGAAACATTTAAAGATAGGAATTCAATTGCTTTTATACTTTTGAATAAATTAAGATTCACCTGCTATTTTGTAAAAATTAAGATCAAACAGGGGAATTAGGAGCTTTAAACCAAGCCTAACAGTGCTCCTTCCACCGGCCACCCCACATTCTGCTGCCCGGCACCAAAAATCAGACCCCACCGTTGTCCCGGGCTGCCGCTTCACCGCGTTTAACGCGTCCCAGAACCCCCTTCGAGCCTTTTAAGGTAATTCCCGGTGTTTCATACTTCTAAAACCGAAGCTCATCCACGGCGTTTCGGTAATTAACGAGCGGTGATTATTCCGGCAGCCGCCGCCCGCAGCAGAGGCCACCAGGTGGCAGGGGCGCGCGCGCGGCCGGCGGGCGGGGC